TTGCAAGTCATTGTATTCTGTTTTTATTTACGATTTACACAACGTGCCAACTTTTCTGGTTTTGGGGTTTGTATTACCTTTTGATCCAAACAAACTCAAAATTGGCCAAATTTGTTTTTCTTCTGCACGTAATAACAACCGTCATATATGTGCATTATTTCAGAAAGATGTTGTATCTACTCCATATGTAGTATCTTACTGGAACACATTTACTGATAACCTTAACTGGAAAAGAATTTGGACTTTACCAACTAAATATATGATCAATAATAAAGTAAGAGAAGTVTCCTTTAAAATTATTCATAGAATTTACCCATCTAAAATATTTTTGCAACGCTTTAAAAAAGATATAAATGTAATGAGCTCTTTGTGTGGAGGCCACCCTGAGGATGATCATCACTTGTTTTGGTCTTGCCCCCTTTCTACTCAGTTGTGGGAAGATATATGTTCTGACCTCTGCCTCTGTTGAGCCACATTTTTCTCTTTGCTTTGAACATATATTGTTTGGCTTCACTGACCATCCACTTACCAAAGAAAAACAGTTTTATATTATCAATCTTATTATATATTTAGCCAAATGGCATATTCACAAATGCCGCTACACTAATCAAAAACCTCTTCTTTCTATTTTCTTAAACGAAGTCAAACAATATATTACAATTATTAGACACTCAATAAATACGAAAGCTATTAAAACCTGTGCCTTATGTGATCTTTTTCAAGCCTTTGTGTAATGTTATTTTAAAATTGTCTCAAAGCTTGTAACCTAACCCCCTGGTAAATGTTTTATTGTACTCTATTTTACATTGTTCCTCATTTTGATTCTAATTTTAAAAAAAAACATGACTCACAACAGCTACCGGGACTACGTCACTTTCGTTAGAGGCTGGCCTTCAAAATAAGACCTCGAACAGTCCTCGTGACAACAGGTAAATCTTTCTGTTAATTTAGCACTGGTAGCTGCATCAAAAACAAGCAGTTTATTCAAACAAATAATATAAACTCTAATAAATAAACTCTGTAACATATTGTGTCATATATTAAACACATTTTTACATTATTTGTTATATATAAAATATATTTCTTCATAGTCACATGCTTCATACTTACACTTCGTCTTCACACAGCAGATGGCAGCATCACTTTCCTCAAGCTTCGAGTTTAAGCCTCGGCCATTTTGGATTCATGGACTGTTGCTAAGGCAACGACCAAAACACCATGTCTGAGCTGCACCAAGCTGCTGCAGCAGGAGATTATCAAAAGGTTGAAGAATTACTGACTCAGCAAAACATCTGTCCTAATCAGAGAGACGTGGACTGGAGCTACAAGACTCCTCTTCACTGGGCAGCAGCTGGAGGTAAAGATGCTGTTACACATCTGCTTCACTTCCACCATTTCTCCCTTTTCTGTTCATTTCACACCTAACAGTACAAAAGATATCATTTATGTTTAGTTGTTTCATATCCTTACTTTAGCTATTTAATGTTTTGTCTCATTTATTTCATATAACTTATTTAAATTCCTGTCATGAGCAGTGGCAAAGCTGTGAGCCCCTCGCTGTCGCAAAGACCACAGGGGGTCAGGATCACAGGGTTTCAGGATCACAGGGGGTCAGGATCACAGGGTTTCAGGACCACAGGGGGTCAGGATCACAGGGGGTCAGGATCACAGGGTTTCAGGATCACAGGGTTTCAGGACCACAGGGGGTCAGGATCACAGGGGGTCAGGATCACAGGGTTTCAGGACCACAGGGTTTCAGGACCACAGGGGGTCAGGATCTTAGGTGGACTGGATCACAGTGATCCTTGCTGCAGTCAGAGCAGAGACCCACAGTCCACTAGAGACTCAGATTCAGGAATTCAGATGATTGAACGACTCTTAAAGCTGCAGTCTGTAACTTTTTAAAATATATATTTTTGACATATTTGTTAAAACTGTCACTATGTCCTGACAGACTGATTATAGACAGATAATCTCTGGGGGAAAAGGGAAAAAGAAGTCCTCTGGCTCCTCCCGGTGGTCCTTCTGCCCTCTGTTAAAATCTCTCCAACCCGGAGACGAACAGCCAATCAAAAGTGAGGTTTGTCTCGTGCACAAGCTGTTCTTGCCCACCCCCCATCCCTGCCAGCGCAGCGCGCACGCCGCGCAGCCGAGCTAGCGCGCTCTCGTTCAAACAGTAAAGGGCTCGACACACGGGCAGCGACAAACTACAGCGATGAACGGCTGTCATCGCAGCCAGGGTGAAACTCGACACACGG